CATTGCTTTCTGGGGATATGACATCTTGTAGTCATGACGTGTAACAAAAAATATTTTTTGAAGAGGTGGATGAATCAATGCTTTTCTTCTTTGTGCTTTGCTAACCAAAGCAAACAATTAGAAAACAATTTGCTTGAGCAAGAACTAAAGCAGCCACTTTCTTTCTCTTTCAAGAAAATGTGAACCTCTCAGATTACATCCATATTTTGGCATGAAATAGAATATATATTTTGGATTACAGAATGACTTTACTCTCCACTTTCTTTCTGTTGCAAGGATATTTTGAAAAAAAAAAAAAAAAGGTAGTATTTTGAAATGAAAATACATAAAGTTTCATTACAGAATGTCTAAATGAAATATTTTGGCATTTCTGGACTGGAGCATGTAATTTCAAGAATAGTTTCCTCTGGTGATTCTGAAAAATATTCTGGGAAAAATAATTTAAAAAAATGAGAGTAGTTATTCCTTCTATTCATCTCCCCTCAAAATCATCAAGTTCAAATATTAAACATTTACTCATTATTGTGTTATGATAATTGAACAGTAGATTAATACTCATAATCCCTTGTAAGAAAAATAACGTGTGTCTATTGGCATGCTGTTTGCTTATTATTTTTTAGTGCAGGAGTTAAGGTCACCAAAAGAAAAGTAATAGAAAAAAATAAATGAAAAACAAAGCAAAACAAAACTTTTTTTTTTTTTTTTTTCAGTGAAAATAGCCAGCTCTGAGGAGGAAAGTAGGAATATGAGGAATATGATTTTAGCAACAGCAGTGATTTGAGCTAGCTTTAAATTTCCAATACAAAGAGCAGTGAAGGATGGGGGATCAAGCTGTACCTTGGTGTTTCTACTGCTCTAGTTTAGATCATCCCAGGTATTATCCAGAGCTGCTTGTGCTGCTGATTAGCTGCTACAGGTCCCTAAATTGGCTAGCCAGGGTATGCCTCTGAATGCTGCCTGCCACCTCCTTGTGCAGCATGCTCATGGGCAAAGAAAATTTGGTGTTTGGGTGCTGCTGAACAGGGACAAAAGAAACAGTCACAAGAAGCATCAGCATTGCAATGGATGGATCAGAAGTATTTTACAGTTTACAGGCGCTGGGTATATCCTGTTTGAAATCTGTAATTTCCCCTTGGTTTCTGCATATATGCTAACATATTGGATAGATTGAACTTGGCCTATCTATATCTATATAAGGATTCAGTTCTAGGTACTGGCCAAGGACTGGCATAATTTCAGAAAATTGTTAGTTATGCTGTTTTGCATTTTAAGTGTGTTTCAGGTGCTTGTGTAGACCTGAGAATCGGTCATCTCTCTGTGTTTGATGCCTTTGCTCCTGTAATTCTTCTGTGGGGAAAATGACTTGCTAATTTCCATTCTGCAGAACTTGGAGGACAAAGAGGTGGTATGAAATTGCAGAGAAGTTGGGTTATGAGCCCAACCACTGATATCTTTGCAGTTCCCAGGCCTTGATAGATGTGGTCCAGTATTCTTTTCTGGAACAAATCACCTGGTTTTGTTATTAATAGCGTTGAGCAAACCTGGTCCGAGGCAGGACTTGAGGAACTGGCAAAATAACACTAAATCCTGCCTGAGCGAATAAATGTCATTGTGGGAAAAATGTTATGAAAGCAATAAACCTACCTCCTCATTAAGTGCATGCGTGTGGGAAGCTGGGGCGGGCAGGAGGGCTGGGTGTGACAGGAGGCAGCCAGGAGAGGCATGCATGGCCAGTGGCAGCACAGGCACCAAGCAGGTGCAGCCCTAGAGGCTGAGAGATGCAACTACGACACGACATGCAGCAAGGGAGGCAACTGTGAAAGGAGTGAGGGAGAAGAGTCAAGATCAAGCAGCACTGGCAGGCAAGTCACCCCGAGGGCCACGCAGCCAGCAACGGAGGTGGGGGTGGCACAGGCATGTTTCCTTTCCTCATCTGTCTGTCCCCTGCCTTCCATCACCACCCCATACACTTTGTCCATGTTATAAATTGTAAACAAATCTATTTAGGCTGGAATATATACATATATATATATACCCCATCCTGAAATTTGGTCATGTGTGGTTCCTTTTTTTAATGGTAACAAGGAAGAACAACTAACATTCAGGAACGTTTGGCACACTTTAATGTGTGTGTTTTTTAAACATTTTTCATCTGTGGAAAGCTCCTCCAAACTACTAAAAGCCATGCCTTCCTCAAGAGACTTTCATTAACACCCTTTAACCTTTAATGTACCTCTATGACATCCTCTCCCCAGAATTTCCAGAAGAATTTAGGGCTCTGACCCAAAGCCAGTGGGAAGAGTCATATCAGCTTCAGTGAATTAGGTCTTTAGAGTCCTTTGCACAGATGCCAACTCACTAAAAAGGGTGTAATAAGCAGGCTAATCAGCTACTTAAAAAACATAATGTGAGCATAGTTCTCCACTTCATTACGTTGGTTTTACATGCCGCTAAAGCCAATGGAGTTACACTGGTGGAAAAGCAGGATCACAGAATGGAGACTCACCCCCTGCATTAGCCTTCTAAAACTGGTTTCAAAGATCAGAGGCAGTTAGTCTGTATCTTATACTAATGTTGGGCCTGGTCCAGCACTCACTGTAGTCAACTGGAAGAGTTCCATCAGGCCCTAGGGATATATATGTCTATGTGTGCAGATATGTATGTGTCTCTCTGTCAATCTATCTGTGTAATTTATCTATTTTTACCATGCTCATCGCTAGAGTGACTAAGAGCCTGAGTGACTGAGGTTAAGCAATATGTAAAGTCCCCAAAGCCTTGATCTAATATATACTTGCTGATCCTGTAATATAAAAATAAATGTAGGTTAGTATATGATCTGTGGGACATATACAATCAAGCATGCAGAACACACAGAAAGAGCAGGGCTGTTTCCCATCCAGTTGGACAGGTTATGCCATTGGCAGGACACAGCAAGTTGCTGCCAAAAAGGCATCACCCATTTTTTATTCTCAGACTCTGTTTTTATATGCTGCTGATGGATATCGGATGAATTGCTCATTGTAAATCAATAATACTTCATCTTCAGATTAATGAGGAACTAGAACTGTTTCTAATAAATGTTTAAATGCTTAGCATTTTTTAGAAACCAAGCCTTTTATGAGGAATCCTTTTTTTTTTTTTTTCTCTCTTTTTTTTTTTTTTTTTTTCTATTAGGCAAGAATGACATAAAAACATTCAGGATAACCTTGTGAATCGTGGAAACGTAAAAGAGTAAATGGATGGACAAGTATTGTAGCTGTTTGCTTTATAACTTCAGCTGCATAGAACGCCGTTGTACAGGTAAATAAAGTGAAGTATCTATTTTAACAAAAATGAATGCCCTTCAGAAAAGCAATCACACTAGTAAGTAATAGTAATGTACCGTAGGGGTGTTGTTATTGCACTGCCTCAGATTCTGTCTGACTGAAAAAGATCTGGGCAGACTGCTAAGGGGAGAAGAGTTTGCAGTGTGCCTCTCTTGCTAGCTTCTGAGCCTGAAGTTTTGTTCACGAAAAAAAAAAAAGGGTGTGAAGTTATGTTTTTGTTTTTGTTTTTAACTTTCTGTAGTTTTGTATTTAAGAATTATTTCTGTGAAGCAATGAAGGATGAGGGTAAACAATGGATTTAACACGAACTGAGGCAGAAACAATTCATTTTTATAAAGAACAAATGTTTAATCCTCCAGAGGAACTATGAGAAGTGAAATTGCATGTCAAAAGTAGCAAAGCAATACAGTGGTCAGTAAACTGCAAACCTTTCTTGTTCATCAAACAAAGAGAAGCAGTGAAATGATCTTAGAATTTTCTCTTTACTGTGTGAGGAATGAAAATAACCCAAAATAATGCAGTGGGTCAACTGTATACACTGGGCAATAAACTAAACTTCCTGTCTCTAACAAAAGGCTTCTCTTTATAAAGTGCCAGCACCTTAAACTGCAAAACATTGGTATCCAATTCTCCTTTAGCTCTTTAATAATGTCTTCTGAGAAGTTTGTACTTTAGTATTTAAAGTATTTAACAAAATATTTTTATTTTTTTTAAAGAAACATAAGCTGCTGATAGATGATGAGCATAAACAATAGAGTTCGGAGTCCTGGATTCCAAACTTTTTGGAAAGAAAAGACTGTGCACCTTTGATCCATCTCACAGATCCCCTGCATAACTGCACAGACAAAACAAATTTATAATTTTTACTCTTTCATGTGTTTTCGTGGGCTGATTACAGGCCTATGCAAACACTAGTATTCCATAGTTTGAGCCATATTGGCTTAGACATTCTTTTTCCCTTTTCTGATAACAAAAATAATTCATATTCTTGTCAATCACACAAACATACATGCCTAGCTGTTAAAGGATACTAGTGTCTCCTAATGGGGGAAAAAAAGACTCAGTGTTTTCCATTGGCTGATAAGGCTGCCCATCTACTGATAAGGCTGTGTCCTTTACTTTGATGGTAGACCGAGGTTTTTCCTGAAGAAAATCAGGAGTATTCTGATTTTGGGATGTAGATCTGTATACTTATGGCTGTACATATAATTTTCCCTTAAACTGTTACTCAGTTTTCCTGGAATGGGATGGGAAGCAGATGTACACTGCTGAAGACTGAGGTTAGTCTGTTCAAGTAATTGACAATGGACAAGACAGTAAGTCCCTGATCTCCCAGTGGTGGTTTTGGAGGTCCCAACACTTGTTTTCTGTAGGCAGCATGAAATCTACTAATTTTCGTCATCACAGCAGTGACAGCTGGAAAGCAGTGCCAATTGTGTAGAATCCAAGGGGCACTCTAGCTTAGCCCACAGGCCAAGGTTGGAGACACAAACTTCTCCACATGTGGACTTTTGGTTTACCATCTTCAAGAAATGCATTGGGCTGAATTGAACCCTAAACTAGCAAAGAAAGGGTTGTCAGGAGCTGCTGGGGAGGGCAGTCAGTGGCGAATGGCAGCACCTGGAGCTGCTGACATTTTAAGTAGGTACACCTGCAAGGGACTTGGCTCTTTTCTCCCTGGAAAGTCCTTTCAGAGCTGCTCTTCTAAGAGACGGTTTGGATTGAAGTTTAGGATCCAATTTGGTACTGAGAAGAGGCTTATGCTAGGTTAGTAATCTTGCAGTCTGATATTTTATTAAGAAACTGAATTATGTTAAGATGTATTTATGTGGGGTTACTGCTGTTTCCATGTGCTGATAGAGATGGAAAATTCTAGTTTTTTTTCTGATTTGCCAAGGAGAGGTTATTTCATGTATGTGTTGTGTCATGTCCTCCCCCTGTTGTGTAGGGCCTACAAATTGCAGGGGGGTGGGCCTCAGCTGGAGGGCCGAGTGGGATAAGCCTGGAGCAGTGCTGAGAGCATCTCATCAGGCTAAGAGCGGCTTGGGTGCTAAACATAAGGAACTGGTCTTTTGTGCCTTCTCTAAAACTCGGGTTGCTCACAGTACAGATGTTGGGCTTGGGCTGGCCTTCTGGAGCCAAGGTCTACTTGGGTGGCTGGCTCCTTACTGGGATCCATGTTATTCTGAGAGGAACTCTCTGGGCAGATCTGTGAAGGCTCTGAAGACAGGCTGGTGAAACCAAAGTGTTGCTATGGTGTTGTGCTAGTGTGGTGCATAAGGTGACTCCAGGTAAACAGCCTTGATAAAAATGGCTTAAATGTTACTGGTCCATTTGGGGTCTTGTTGCAAAAGGATGCAACAGGTGAGAAGGGGTGCTGAACTCCTGTGTCCTCTAGGAAGGGAATTATGTTCAGAAGTGCATGTTGCTCTGCTGTGTTGTTTTATCTTTTAACTTGGCATTTTAACTTCTTTGTAGTCATCCTACTCCCTTTGTGTCATTCCTCTGTAGCTGTCGTGCGAAAGAAAGATTCTGGGCCTGTGAAGGACTTATAAAGGTGTCTAAGGAAGGGATTAGCATTGCTTTAAGGGAGGGACTGAAGAATGTGTTTTCCTTCTCATATTAGGGATTAAGGATGAGGGTAGCTGCTCAGTGGGAGCTGCCACCCCTCCCAGAGGTAAGAACATACAAACTCTTACTTCCACTGGGGGTGGTGGGTGCCGCTGAGTTTGGGGATGATTGGTGCGTTCCCCTGATCTGCTAATTCCCTCCTGCTAGCCTTGAGTCCGCTCTCCAAAGATAATGATGCCTGCCTGGGCCTTTCTGCTGCAGGCTGCTGGCCCTGCCCTTCAGGGGATGTGAGGCTTTGTGCACCTTACATACAGGCCTGCCCTGGTCGCTTCCCTAGGTGTGGTACCTCTGATTCTTGCCCTGGCAATACGAGGGCTCTGGGGTGCCACAGGCTACTCACCAGCTTGTGGGTTTGGGTGTTGTGTGTTTTTTTTTTTTCTTTTTGCACACTGCTCACCCTCTGGGTAGGTGCACGGGGCCGCTGGTAAGCTTGTGGCGGGGTAAGGCCACAGTTATTCATGGCCCTGCATCTCTTCAGCCCAGTCCTTTGACACTGTGAGGAGGGCACACACAGCTGCTTGCTAAAGAGGGAACACTGCACTTCCCCATGCAACTGCGTTTCTTCGGACTCTATTTAAGGGACCTGATTTTTGACTTCCCATACACCCGTGTTAGTAGGCTCTGCTGTGAGTTACTCCTTACTGACATGAGAGACTAAGTTCAGTTTACAAGCTCTCAGTTTAACAGCAAAAAAGAGTCTATCCAGCAGTGTTCCTGCTCGACTGAAGTCTTCATGGGGATCCATGTGTTTGGCTCAGCAAACCTTGACTGTTAATCTGCTGTTGGAACATCTATGGGAAAGAACAGCCGAGTTACTGAGGAATATAAGAAATCTTAGCTTGTCTGGCACAGAATAGCCTACCACCATAAAGATGAAAACACGAGAGAGAGGGTAGGAGGAGTCCACTCAGCTGTTTCAGTTTTCATCAGGCTGTTCTGGGCTGGCTTCCTTTTGGTTATCAGGGAAAGCTAAGAAAAGTAAAACAGTGTTGCTACTCTCAGAAACCAGCCCTTGAAAGGAAGCTCTGACAACCAATCAACCTATGTGGCAGTAGTAGAAGATGTTAGTGTGCATTAATGATAAAGAGATAGTGTTAATGTGGTTTCAAAGTGTTTCATATTTAGATGTGGCTCCAAGTTTGTTGTGCATAACAGGACAAATATAACTAAGGTGGGGCTGAGCCCAAGAGCTGGATTCCAGCCTGTTTTAGGAAGCCAAAATAAACAAATACAATATTTCACATGGACTGTTGAGCTAATTATGCAGTTTCTGATGCTGCCTTTTAAAGGGAGGTGGTGGTGGGGAAGAGTAAGTGTCCAGGAAGCACACTGCTGGGAATGTTGTGGGCTTCATCGTGATCTTGCTCTTGCCATGTAAACCACATCTGACTCTTCTGAAGCTCAGGATGAGGGTTGACTGGTCTTTCTCTCTGGGATGCATTAGGATAGCCTTGAACATTTTACAGAAGTGAAGCACCAGAGGTTATTGGGTGGGTGCTGAAGTGAGAATCTGGTTGTAAGGCTTGTCACAGCTAGTTGCTCTGCTGTGTGTCTTGGAGCAAGCCTCTGTGTCTCTGTTTCCCACTTTGTCCAGTGGCTGCCAGCTCTGAACTATTTGTTTGCCTTGTGGTACTGTCTGTGGGCATAATATCTTCAAATTCACTCTACACCTGTTTTATCCCTCCTTGTTATTTAGCTTATCTCCTTCCACCTATACATATTCTACGTTTGTATAATGAGCTCTGTCTCCGTGTCCAGTCTTGGCATTCCTGCTTACGTAGATTGTAAACTCAGGAGCAAATTGTCTGCATTGGTTTGCCGACTGCCTTGTTTTATCTTATCCCTTGTGATAAATATTATTCTTAATAATAAGAGATGATTGTTACCTCAAATAACACCCCCCTTCACCCTCCCAACTATGGTGTAATTTAATACTGTACTGTAGTTGATGACAGCACTTGAAGGTTTAAGATTTGCATCTTTTGAAGCTTTTATAATGTCTCATGCAGCGGGGCTCTGGTCTTCTTCAGAGTCTTAAGGTGCTACTGTTATACTACTAATAAAGTGGTTATAAAACAAAAGTATTCAAAGCTACTTTATGTTCTTGTTATGTTGCCTCAGAAAAAAAATCCTTCTGTTTTCTGTGTCGCTAAAGCCTCACTGATGTGTGTTAAGCTCTGTAGAGACCCTTTAATTACAGCACATCTGAATGGCTGTCACATTAGGAGTTAAAGATCTCTATTTCAAGGAAAGAAGCATTTTTGTTTTTAATATAAACGAGTATGCTTCAGCCTTTTCACCAAATTCAAACTGCATGGAAGGGTATTTCATAATAGACTAGGAAGGCAATATAAAATTAAGTAAAGATGGGTCTGGTGCCTAAAAATATTTGGCAGAATTCCCTGGAAAGCCACATTTGAACATTTTTAATATATATTACAAGGCAGACAAGAATAATTATCTTCTCTTGAAGTTCCCCGAGTGAGAGAAGTGTATTGTAATGCCCTTTGAAAGAAAATAATATAAGCTGCCAAATGATTATGTTGTGGAATTCTTCCCCACCCCCTGTCTTTCACTCATCTGATTGTACATTAGAGGAAGAATATGGTACAAATGAAGCGGTTCTTCTTTTATTCCTTTTTAAAAGAAAAATCTTGACACCTTTAAGGAGATATGCCTGCCAATGTACAGGGTAGCCCTTGCTAAAAGGAATTAAGGAGAGTATTTCTAAATGACTAAGCACAAAGCCATCAAAGACGAGGCACCTCTTTCTTTGAATTTGATGTTGTGAATTCTTGGGAAAACTGAAGTAACACCATTCTGATTTATTTTTTTTCTTATCTTCTACATGTGGTTCAAAACCTAGAGACATAAAAACATCTAGTATTAGTTTATTTAACCACTATTACAGTGACTGACATGTTCCTGGCAAAGGGAGCTGTGAGACCTGAAAAAAACTATGAAGTGAACCTGTAGCATTAATTGATGTTTTAAAGGGTTGCTGGTAAATACCCAACTCACTTTAAAATTAATTTTCTTCGTGAAAGTCCACATGGAGATGGATAAAGGAAAGGGCATATCATTAGATGAGAGAACTTCCATAAAACATTGACATCCTCAGTCTGTAGAAAGACTTTGTTAGTGCTAAGTATCAAGGCTTTGTTTTCTTTTGTGTTGCCTGTTAATAGGTAGATGGATGGAAGGACAACTCTGCCAGCATCTCCTCTGGAGCTTATCTTGCTCTTCAGTGCTCCGATAGCGAGGAGTGTAAAGGTAGCCAGAATATATGAATCAAGACATGATTCTTGGAGACAGAGTTAGTTGTGGACTTCACTGTCAGCTTCAGTGTGTGTAGGATCAAATAGCATCGTGAATGAGGAAAGCTCGTGTCCTGATAGTGAATCCCTAGAGGCAGAGAGAGGCATGGGCTCATGGAATCAACATGAGGATAGAAGGGTTGAGGGAGAGGCCAAATTCTCTGCTGTTACAGGCTGGAATTGGCATCCCTTGGACAAGAATTTCCTTCTGATTTACACAGCCAAGAGGGGTCCTTGAAGGGTCTTGAGAGAGCTGCAGATATGTGATCCTGCAAGTGAAGAAAAACCTAGGAATATATAGAGGGACAATGAGAGAGATTTTGGCAGCAAGACTTAAAGTAAAAATAAATAAATAAAAATAGGGTGGGAGGCAAAGCTGCAACGAGAATGCTGAGGCTGAGCAATCCTACCCTGGGAATCTGTCTGAGTGGGGGGCTGCAAGCTGTTTTCTTAATTATTTATTTTTTTCAGACCAGAAGATGTGAAATAAGACTCCTTTATTTCAAGGGGGAGGTGGGAAAAACTGAGGGAGAATAGTGTTCACTTAATTTAGTAGACTTTTTCATATGAAATATACATGCATGCGGTTGGTGTATATCTATTTGAATGAAGATTGTTGAATTAATCAGGTGATCAGGACAGATTGTTCAGATCTCTCAGGAAATGTTGGTATGCAATTTTTTAAGTAAGTGTCTTCATGCCTGGCCTGTTGCACAGAGATAGGGTACTTTGGAAACATCTGCAGAGTTAACTTTTAGAAGTGTTTTAATTTAAGCTGGATGGGGCCAGTAAAACTGTGGTTTCATTTTATGGCTAACAAATTGATCCTTGGAATACTTCTATGCTGCATTCAAACATGCGACTGCATCTCCCTCTAGCACTGACAACAGTGTTCACAAAGCAGTGTGGAGCACGTCATATCCCAGTCGCCATCTATTTGGTTATAGGAGAGGACAAACTATCCTTACGCAAATTACTGTGATCTGTTGTATGGCATAAGAGGTAGCGCAACTGTATGCTGCTAATTACTTTTATGGACTCATCTCCCCAACCTTTCAGTGAACTGATTCCTGTAAGCTGCTGGTGCTGGGGAGGGTGAGGGATAATGCTCTGTGGTTGAGAGAAGGCTCAGTGGTGATGACAACTTTTTTTTCATTCTCCTCTGGTAGTGAATTGTATTGGAATATATCTGTAGATGTGTTGCAGTTCGTAAGTGTTGTGCGTATTTTGGAGAGGCCACAATGCAGTGCAGGAGAGTCTAGTTGCTCACGTGGTTCAGGAGCTCCTCTGCCCTAGCGGTGCCACTCTGTCGGCTATTGTACATTTTTTCAAGTCCATTTTTTTAATGTGACAGATCAGAGCTTGAAAAACAGGACGTCTTGGAACATGAACTAGATGAAAACAAGCTACAATGAAAGTGAAAAAAACATATCATTTTACTGCCGATTGAAAATTAGGACCAGATGAAGTCTCTGAGGCCCTGGGCATTTAATTTACTGGAGTCGGTCACTCCTCTGTGAAACCAGCCTCAGTCTGTGTTCTCCGCACATACGTGGTATCTTTGTTTGTTTGTATTTGACCTAATTTGTTGAGGAAAATAATGAGATGGATTGTTTTGGTTTTCTTGTTTGCGTAAACTTTACATACAAGTGATTTACTTTGCAAGCCACTATGATAGGGTGGCTATAGCTTACATGGCCAAGAAATTCTGTAGAACAAAGCTATCTAATGAAGTGCTGCTCTGGTTGTGCAGACGTAGAGTTCTAAATAAACAGGTTGATGCAGCCTGGCAAAGATTTTTTGTTGTTGTTTTTTTTTCCCCTCCATTTGCATGCATATGAATTCTATCAGTCGTAGCCAGAAAGAAAGGTTGCTTTGCAATCTAACCTACTTGTTCTGTTTCTGTGAAGCAAACACACCTTTTCCTAGGGACTCCATGTCTAAGGCTTTCATATTGTGTACTCTCTGGCTCGGCACCGTTTTAGTTTGTGGTCGTGTGTGTATACATATCTTGGTTTATTTGGTTGTCAGTCTAGCGCACAGTAGGATTATAATGGACTTCACACACCAAAGTGTTATTGTCCTTTGAAAACACAATTTTATGTGATTTTTTTTTAAGGTTGATAAATCAATCCTACAGGTACAAGATGTAACTAACTTTTCTACTTTTTTTTTTTTCAGATCTGCTTCTACCTGGACATTTTGACTTAGTCTGAATCTAACTTCAGAGATTTTAATTGTGGTCACAAATCAGGTAACAAGAGAATTTCCCTCTGTTATTTGCATTTGTTTGTTGTATTTTATATGGAACATGTCTTGAGGCAGATGTTTGGCAGGGGCCTTTTAGGGGAGTTAGGGTCTCAAGTAATTTTACAAACACACCTCCAACAGCCTTCATGAGGAGTTTATGCACTTCACATGAGAGAGAAAAAAACAAAAACAAAAAACCACTACCACACACGTAACCAGTAAAATGGAAGCCCACTGAGCTACACAGGAAATGGGATTTCCATTCCATGAGAAATATGGACTCATAAATAAGGATTCCCCTTCCATATCGGTTCTTTTTAAAAACACTTGCCAAACAAGTTTCTATAAAAAATGTTGATTCAGAAGTGCTGAAGCTTTTTATTTGGATAAAGCCATTTTTCCTTTAGAGCAAGTTGCGGCTTTACCTTTTATGTTGCATTGATTTATTGTGTAAATATCTAGAAATAGGAAGTCAGGAGGATAGTACTGAAATAAGATGTTCGGACTTTTTGATATTAAGCACTGTTCAACTGACTCCTCACATGCCAAAAGAGTGAAATGTTCATTTCTGGTGAGAAATTTTGCTGAGATCTGATGTGTGCTGAAAGCAAAATCCTCACCCAACATATAGTCACGCTCTGGCCAGCTTGGTTGTAATGCCAAGCAGCACAGAGACCTGTGTCCCTTAAATCCTTACACCTGGATATGCCATACTAGTATCCCGACTGGGCTAAATAGACATCTGTCTAGAAATATGTACCTGCAGCAGACTGGATGCATGGTTATGTGCTCTATATGATGTTTGCCCTACATGCAGGCATGAAGATGTTCTTATGCTGAACCCCTTGGTAACAAGGGAAGCTGTAGCTGTCCTCTGGAGTGACTGGAGAAGGAAGAAGGCCTCCGGACTGGAGGGGTGCAGGGAGTGTTTTCAGTCTTGCTGCAATGATTGTGTTCCCAACTGTTCCTGCCGATACAGAGAGTGTGAACAAATTGCACTCATAGGAGAAAATCAAGCCCAGAGCACTTGTGTGTGCGTAACACTTCTTTAATAGAAAAGCCTGAGAACTGTTTTCTTTTGAATATGTTCTGGGTAAGTTTAATGTGGTCCTTTGTAAAGAAAACAAAAGTCTGGAAACCCAAATCTCCAGGAGACTCTGCTCTATTAGATAATTTGAAAATCTTTAATGATCACACACATAGATCTGAGGGATCTCAGGCACGCAGCTGTAGTTTCAGAGTTCTGGCTGTATTTGCCATCTGTCTGTAAGCAAGCAGATCTTGGCTGGGTGTTCTGCTTCATATAGCTGAGTGTTATTCGTTTTGCTCCTTGTTGCCTCCAGTCTGGGCTTTTCAAGAAGATTAATGGAACCTGAGAGAAATAACCCATTGCCCTTCTTAAGAAAGTGGTATAACATCATGCTAGTTATTAACTCAGATCTAATTGGTGTCTTAGTGTTTGCAGTTTTTTAAATGGGTTGGAACTCCCATTCAGCCTAAAAATGGAGAAGTACTATTCTGTTCAGTAGCATCAGAATTTCTTGCCTGTTATAACCCTAAAACTATGAAAACTGGTGAGAAGGCAGAATAAAAAACTGTATTGATATTCTGCTAGCTAGTATGATGCTCCTAGAATCACATCAAACTGTCAGAAAAATAAGTGGCTAATCACTGAGAATCTCTCCTCCGTTCTCCTATTTGCCAGTGGGCTAAAGGAATGTATGTTGTTTTGGGTAATGGAAGAAGCTTTTGGTTTTCATTACAGCCTGTAAACATCTTGGGCTGAAAGCCTCAGGAGTGGTATCATGTCGTACCACATGTTATGTACGCTGCCCAGCAAGTTTTGAAACAGATTTTTATGATGATTGTGTTTACAGTATTCAATGAAAACAGGGATGACTGGGCAATGGGATGCCAACCACTCCCTGCTCCTAAGCTGAAGAGCGTGGATGGGGGTTGGTGTTGAGATGTTTTATTAAAGCACTGTGCTTAGCTTAATTACCATAACATCAGTGGAAAGGTAGAATATTTCAAAAATCTTGTTGACATCAGTAGGTTTTAGTCAGGTCCTAGATATTAGTATGGAACTAATAACTACTAAGAAGGGCTAATGCTGATGAACTGCTGGCTGAAAAATAAGGTAATCATTAAGGTATACAATTGTGTTTGATTTTGCAGATTTCAGGTCAATTCCATAGAGGAAATAGGTGTATGGGAGGCAACCTTGGGAGTGCATGTGACTTAAAACTTCTGAAGGAAGGTGCTAGCATGTGTTACACTAAATTCTCAGTGATGCAAGCCTGTATGTGAGCAGTGGGGACAATCGGTGGATTTGATTCCAAATTGCACATTTACTCTGAACAAATGCTGAAATGGATGCAGTGTTTGGTTCTCCCAAATGCAGACTATGGTGCATAGACCAAAGCTTGTTGGTGGATGTATTGGGCTTTACATTCTGGAGACCAGACTATAGCTGATAATACCTCTCTGGTTTTACTGGCCAAAGTGCATCAAATGTCTTTTTTATTAGTTCATTGTGCTGAACAACGTCTCCCAGCTAACTGGAAACATCTATTAATCAAACCAACTCCTTTCCCTGTGGGTTTTCAAATTCCATTGCAGTAATTCCTGAAAGCCATAATTGCTGGGGATTCATTGTGCAGACCCACAAGGTGTCTTCCCTGTGTAAGGAACCTACACAACCAACACTCAGGTTGGTTTATGCCAACAGTGAGTGAATCCATGGCAGAGCCCTGCCTGTGGTGTTGCTTTCTGTACCAGCCTTTGCACTGCTGGGGACATGTTATGCTTGGGGGTCCCTTTCTGTCAACCAGGGGAGAACTCTTCTGTCATTTGGACAGAAGTTAAGAAACAGAGGATGATTGGTACTTAAGTGATTCTTCCCCTTTCCATCCTGCCCATATTTGTGGTTGATTTTAGCATGTTTAAAATCAATGCTTGGGCGCTAAATGAACCTCCAGCACTTACAGCTATGCAGGCTTTTATGGGTTTAAAGAGCTTTCAGGATTGCATTATCAGCTTTCTGTATGAGTAGTCAGAGGGTTCAAACTCAAGTGTGGTGACTGTCCACAGGTCAGTGTGAAATGAAGACAGATGTGGTCATAGTCCTTGCCTCAAGGTATTCATACTCTGAAACCAGTAAAGGATCAGGGTTGTGGAACTTGTATGAACCTAACACAGTGAGTCAGCAGCCTGGTTAGACTTAGACCTTGTATTTTCTGCCTCTTGGCTCCACTATCTTCACACCTGCCTATGCTGTTCTCCTGTCTCTAAAATCAGCAGAACTAATCTTTTAAACTGCCTTTTTAAAGTACTAAGACTACCCCTTTTTCTTACACTTCAGTAGTGAGTATTGACCAGGTTGTGAGTAGTGCTCATCCGCTGTGCTTCTCTATGATTTTCAATGTCTGTCCTTAGGACTCAGTTACCAGCTCCGTCTCCATCCTTGAATAAAGCCATTGGCAATGGCTAGCAGTTGTGACCAGTTAGTCCTGTAATTAGCATGCAGTCCAAAGGTTAAAAATTTGTTCTGCTGCTCTTCTTTGCATAAATACATCATCATCATCCTTGCTTCCCACTGCTTCAGCATCTAGGGAGCAGGAGTAAAGTGCTGTTCCTTTCTCTGCTGGACAGGTACAAGAGCAGTAAATGGAGCACCTGCACCTGTAAAAATGTAGGCTCCTCTTGGTAACCACCGTGCATGACAGCAGTGACCACAAACTCTGCTCTCAGAGCTGCCTGAGAGACCTTGTGTGCTGAGAGGAGGGAAAGGGGGTGGAATGAAAAATGTGGATTAACTTTCTCTGCACCAGTCTTCCTGGGTGGCCTTGAACATATCACTTACATCTTTCCTGCCCCTCCTTTTCCTCCTTGTGCTTCAGTCTCCCACCTGTGAAATGAGGATAGAAATTTCCTCTCTCCCTTCTTCCAGCTAAGCCATTCAGGTGGTCGATCCTCCACAGCAGATGCTCTCTGCTACAGCACTGAAACCAAGGAGGTTGACCTCATCAGTGTGTTCACGGGTTAAGTACTGCATGTAACATAAATGTTTAGAAGCCAATTTCTACAGTAAGCTTCTAGGATGGGATTTTCGAAGTTCCTGAAAATGATATCCATGTATCAGTAAGATTTACCAGATTAATCGCTCATACCCTAGGACATTCAAGTTCAATGTCAATATTCAGGTCCCCAAATCAGTGGCTTGATTCTCAGAAGTAGTCAATGCCCAGCAGCTTGCTGCGGATATGGTGGAGATGAATGTGGGGTTTTCAGCTCTTCCATGGTCGGGTTGAAGGTTGAGAGATTGGCTTGGGAACTTCGCTGCCTTGCTGTAGATGCTGGAGCTTTTTTTTTTTTTTTTTTGAAGGGGGGAGGGGTGGGTAGTGATGAGGGTTGCGTGTGTTTTCCTAACTTTTTTTTTTTCCCTTAAACCACTGTTCCACTTCAAAATGTAACTTGTTCACAAGGACAAAGTATGTGTACTAAGTGACTTGATTCATCAGTAGATTCCGGACTGCCAGATGCATGTGGTGGTCTTGGTTACTGTCCAACAGAAAAAAGTCACAAAGACCTGACAGTCCGCGTATATATTTTCACACATAGCTTTTCTGGCATTTTGGTTAACTTGGCTGTATTTGCTCAGTGGAAATATGGACTGAGCATTTGCAGGAGCAAGGGGGTGGTCCCAGCAGGTCAGAGTTCAGGTTACTGGTAGGGCAGGGTGGGGAAATTTGGATTGCAGCTGCCTACACAAAATTTGACCTCAGATTAACCAGACAGCTTCAGTTTCCACTGGTGCTGTCCCAAAACCTCTATGAGCAAAAATAACCAAAATACAACAAAAGAAAATAGTTTTTTGGAATTCATACAAAACAGGCAAGAGAACCTAAAATGAAGAATTATCTTTTTCTTTGACTTCTACCTGCTGACAGCTGAAAGCAGATGCTAGGGACTGGGGCTAGTACCACAGTAGCGTGCGCAGGCATCAGTGTTAAACAGGTTAGACGAGACCATGTCCTGATGTTAATCAACAGGTCTCTGTTGAAGTTGTGCCAGTTTATACCGGTTAAGGATATAATTCCCAATGTAATAATTTACAGCATTTTTCTCTTTAAACTTTAAACTCCTCTTCCTTCAAAGAAGATAAAGAAGAACTGTTCTTGATTAGATAATGGGTTCATAGGAATAGGGTATTTTTATTAAATATTAATAATTCAACATTTTAGGTTAACTGAAAGTTCTGGCTTCATTCAGTCCCAATTGAAGCTGACAATGAAGAATATATGCTGCTCTTGCCAAATCCTGATATGGTAGGGCAACAAAATGTTTTGCAAGTGGTGGTGAGTCTCCCTTCTCGGAAGTGATCTTACTGAGTATCTGTAATCAAGGACAGAGTTTCAGAAAAACTCAAATATGGCTTGAGTTTCAGACTCTGAGTATTGAGTGTAAGTCATCTTTTAGGGGGGGGGGGGAAAAATCCAGAAATTTCTGGGTGCCAGGAACTCTTTTTTTTTTTTTTTTTTTTTAAATAAATAAAAATCTGTCTTTTGGTGTTGTTGGAAATGTTTCCATACATGCAAATTCTATATATCTGTAGGCAACTTTAGTCTCTTTTAAAACATGAAGTGGAAGATGGCAATGGTGGTATTTATTTTAAAGGATGAGGGAATTGTACTTCAGCCTCGTGAATTTCTTGGGATGAACTTAGATGTGCTCTTTGAATATTTTGAAGGAGGTCTGGTGAAAAAGCGGTTCTGTTTCATGCTTCCATATATTTTGATTTGTTGAAAATGATATTAAGAATGTTTTGCTGAAGTACTTCTTAACTTTCTGTCCTTATCAGAGGGAAGATGTATCATGTGTCTTATTAGACAATCCAAATGGTATGAGGATTGAGCCCAGCAAGCTCTAGTGTTTTGGATAAGGACTGATGAAGCTTCCAGAACTCCCTTAGTAAAATTAGACATTGATCCCCCACACTGCATGCTTTAGACTTACTGACTTCACAAGGGGACTACTCTATATCTTTCCAAAATACTATCTGAAGCTATTACTGTTGACTTTGTACCATAATACATCAGATCTAATCACTCCTATTAGCTTTGCTCTAAAAGCTAATTAGGCATTGCTTAAACTTTTGCACCTTCCAAAATATAGTGTTGAATTCAACTTGCTTTTCTTTTGTATGTAGAGTTTTTATCATTTGATAAGAAATGTAGTAAATCAAATCTTTCCTTAAAGTGTCATAAATGACTAGTGCTGTGACTGGTGCCATGGACTGAAGCACTTTCTTCAACTTTGTGTAAACATGTTTTTCGTTGTTTTTTTTTTTTTTTTTTTTTTTAAAGATATCTTCAGACTGCAGAAGCAATGAATGACAAGAAATGACCTATCAGGGTAGTCAGTAGCTAGGACATGAAATATAATTGACGTATAATCAAATCTAAGCTTAAGATGTTTAAAGGTAAGTAAAACTTGGTGTTTTAACCATTCTCTAAATTTGGACATAAATCTTCTATTTGATATTGTTATTTAAATGTTTATTTTTTAAATGTGATTTTTTTTTTTTTAAAAGCTAACGGTTCTTTTTGCTCTCTTTCCAAATAATTTCCCCCATCATCCACACCCCCTACCTTCCCAGTTAGTATTTGGTATGTGAAGAGTGCAGAGGGGAAACTAATCAAAAATAAAAGCTTAATGATAACTCTTAACTTTTTTTTTTTTTTTTTTGGAGCATCCTTTTGCATTGCTGTGGATGCAGGCTTCTCCAAAGGTTCGAAGTTATCTTCAGTTGTCATCAAGGAGTGTAAGAGTAGAATAAGTTCACTACTGAAAGAAACTTCAGGTGAGAGTTTCCCATTTCCACAAAGACAAAGTAAACTTTATGGTAACATCTTCCTCTGTACAGGTAAATCCAGGTCTGTGTGGTGAGAGGGACAGGCTAGGGCTGCATCAGTTCCTTTTCTGGTTCCACAATACGTGAAGTGGTCAATCTATACATATGTAATTAGAACGGCTTCAGCTCCTGTGTTGCTTAGTTCTATAGAGACACTTAGCAGCCAAAATGGGATGAGTCACCAGTCCTGGATTGTTGGGGAGGTGGATTTTGGAGCAAGTTTTGAATGATTTCCCCAACTCCTACTGAATTTCTGAAATACAGGCCTAGAAACAAACAGATTGCACTCATTTGTGATCCCCTTTGAAGCCCATAGTATAGCTCCTTTATACTTCTTCAGCCAATGGTTAATACTGTTTGATAGTCAGTCATTTCTAATTCTGTGAAGTGACAAAAACACACACAAAACCCTCTGGTTTATATCATTTAATGCAAATATAAATTGGGGTTAATTATAAATAAAACTATCTTTCTCCTATGTCTCAATTATTTGTAAGTGGAAGAATTAGTTTCTGTTCAGCTTTCACCTTCTTTGTGATTAGGTGCAACCATTATTTTAGGGGATGAAAGGGCAAGGGAGATGTCAATTTACTATCCTACACAAGGCAACAAATTTATAAGGGTTCTTCTGACAAGTTCCTACTCCTTAGATAAAACTATGTCAGTGTGTAAAGATTTCTTTTGGGCTTCATATGTTAAGCAATGAAGGGAAGTAGTGTGTTTTGGCTAACATGTAGAAAAATGTTAGTTCTCAGGGTAAAAAAAAATCAAGCAGTTTCTTCAAAAGTGTGCTATTCTCTATACTAAGAACTGTGGTGTTGAATGGCTAGATTTTTTTTTTATTGACTGAGAAAAAGCTAGAAAAATGCTGGGTGGAAATTCCATGATCTGAATAAATTACTCATCCCTGCATCAGTGTGATGACACAACCTTACAGAGCATCTTTAAACAAAGGGAATCATTTTGCTCTTTTCTCCCACATCGCTCTTTAATTCTGTAACATCTTCCTTCCCATGACTTGTTCCATTCTCTTCAGTATGGCAATTTCAGCATGAACTTGCTCCCTTCAACAAGAGTGAAATGATTAAATCTGTTCCAATAAATTGCTTCAGTATGTTAGATTCTTCCTTACATCTTTACCCCCCCCCCCCCCCCGCTGTGTTTTGATGCACTTGTTGCAATGGCCCAGGCTCTACAAAGCATCCTAGGATGGATCTGGGATGTGCACTTGGTATTTTTCTGCATACCTCTGAGTGCGCACTGGGGCTTCTTGCTGCATCCAGGCTTATGGCATTTTGCTTTTGCCTTCTTCCCCTCATGTGATAGAAATGAGGTCTGAACACGAAACTTCCTGCAATGAGGGTCCAGGCCACAAACCATCCAGGTTAATTCAGAAACAGGGTTGCAGCAGTTATTGCATGAACATCCAGAGGGTGAGGTATGAATTGTCTGCATAGTCCTCCTATACATGACCTTTTCCCCTAGAACGCACTATGTAGCACTAGGTAAATATCTGACAGCCTATATTGAGATTTAAATTATTATTTTTAAATAACTAAATTTACTGATAGTATGT